GGATYCTTGGAGTTGGTCATTGCTGTTGGGAAGGATGGAGGCCAGTCTCTGCCTCACTCAAACATGATTATGGGTTTGTTTTAAGACTCTACAAATCACTGGGTACAGACCACTTACCACACTGATTTATCCTCAACTCTAGCTTTTGTTTCTGCCTCCAACTCTTCCGTCACTACATCAATGACAAATCATCCAGGGTATTTTTTTTTCCCCACGAGATATTTATAGCTGTATCATCCTGTGGATTCCTCTCCCATGGGTCTTTGGTCAGTTGCATGATTTTTTTCTATTAGGAGTCTGGCTTTCTTTGCAAGACGATGGTGTGGGGGAAGTGCTGTGGGAAGTTCTCAATGCACTTTCAAGACTGTAAGACAGCAAACAACAAAACTAAACAGGGTTTTAAAGCTGTATCCATATATTGATTGTATGGAGTTCACTTCTCTACAAGAAWTTTTTCTGACAGTTTAACCAGTGGTATTTAATATCCAGAGAATTCAGCYCCTTTGGCAAGGGGCACACACGGTGGCCACCACGATTTGCACATCTGGGCCCAGAGCACAAGCTCCCSGTGCCTGCTGCCCTGCCTCTCATCACCAATATCCCCATGATCAGCCCCAGGGTATCAGTGACCTACATACACTGGAAGTTGCATTTGTTTTTAATGTTGCAGAGTCTCTAAAACCAGCGCACGTAACCAAGTGCCCGCTTCCAAGCTGCTGTTGTGTAACTTCACCCCCCTCGCCGGCATGCTGCCTGCCATTCATCTCATGGGCTCGGTTTCACTGGGAAGTGCCTGGAGGAACCTCTTAGCTTCCTAATGAGCAACAGAAGGGGCCACTCCGTGCTGGAGGTAGCAGTGAAACAGCTGGGAGGTCTCCTGAGAACACGGGAAGCAGAGAAGGGGCCGTTTTGAGCTTGCAAAACACTAACTTTTATTCACTGTGCAGCACAGAGAGGACCAGAAGACAGTGTCGGGGGAAGGTGCTTAAGGAGAGGCGTGAAGAAGTGATGATGGGCTTTGTAGATAAAGAAATGAGTATTTGTGAAGGGAAAGAAGGCATGGAAGAGATTTTTTGTCTCTTCTGTGTTGTGCATTGCTCTTGCAATCTCAGTTTTATATAAAATACCGTCTAGTAACATGGAGGCCTCATAGGTTGGGTGGTCATAGAGGTAAGGGTAGGGTGTTGATGCGATCTGCTCTCAGATGTTTGGTCTGGTTTTTGTTAATAAGATTTGGGACTTAAGAGCTTGGAAGCACTTAGGAGCTCAGTGTTTCCTCCCAGGAAGTAATTATTGAGGCTGAGTACAGAGACTGCCATTCAGGCCTGGCACACATTCTGGTGCAGAACAAATCTCCTGCATCCATCTGAATTGCCTGAGGCCACGTGGGGAAGGTGAAAACTTGCCCTGTCCATTGTGGGTGTTGAGACAGGTTCAGGGCTCTTCCTGGGGCTCCAGGACATAGTCATATGTGGTAAGTTCTCTGATTTTTCCAGTGCAATCCCATCTCTGGACAGGGAGGGTTTTTGTTTTGTTTTGTTTCATGAGTTTCCTACTGAAAGAAGCCTGTGTGCTTGAACTGCCCACCTTGATCCTGTTGGGTTGTTCAGACCATGTCTCAGTTCCTGCACGATTTGGTATCTTGAAGTATCTTTGGGCTGTGAGAGCAACTGGCTGATGAYACAAAGATGCGGTCCAGGTGAGGAAATGCCTCATTAGCCTCCTCATCAGGAGTTTCCTTAAAGAAAAAAAGGATGGGATGTGGAGTTCAAAGCCTAAGGGTTAACAGAGGGGTCTAGTGTGGTTGTGTGGGAGCTTCGAGGAGCACAATAAAGCTGTGAAGCTGCTAAGAAATTGTGCTGCCTGCACCAATGTTACAYGGTCAGCAGCTTGCAAGTAGCAGCCCCTGACCAAATCAAAAGAAGACAGCGCGTCCCCAGCATGGTTATGAGCCAGGAGACCTTATGCACGAAGACCCCTTAGCACTGTGCCCCGTTTGCTCTCTGGTCGTGGTCTGAAGCGGTCTGGATGCTCATGTATCCAGAAGGGACGTTACGCAGCAAGGCCTCCTGCTGAAAGATGAAGGGCAGAGCATGGCAGCCAGGGTCACAAACCCCAATGAGAGGCTCTCATGGAAGAGCCTCATYATTCACAAGTCACCACACTCTACAAGGACTGTGCTCAAAGGTGTTGTGCCGCGTTCTTACTTCTGTGCACTAGCCTGGTTCCATAAGCAGAAGTCACCGGCTTCCCTCCTCAGGTCTCAGCGTTCAGTATTTATGAGTCTTGGGTTAACACCATATGCAAAGAACAGTGAGAAAAAAAGGTGACAAAATACAAAAATAAAATTTAGATAGATATTAATAAAATACAGATATAATAAAATATATAGAGATATTAACAAAATATAG